AGGTCCTGTTTTTGTTCTACCCCAGCCAGCGACAGTGCCCAGGGCTCTGATGTGTCTCTCACGGCTTGAAAAGGTGAGATTCTTGGGGTCTAGAGTGGGGGGGGGGAGGGCAGAGGGGAAAGGCCTGGGTAATGGAGATTCTTTGATTGTAACGTTTCGAGTGTGTGGTGGGCTGTTCAGAGTGTCATCACTTACCATGACTGACTTGAATTTGTTCATGACTGTTGTTTTCTGTAGCTTGAGACAATTGTCTTGTGTGGGACTGAGATGCAAGATTTCTTCACATCTCCCTTTTGTGACTTCAAGAGACTCTGGCATCTCTTTCTGCAAAGGCATCTGAATGTGTCTGCGTCCCTGTTAGCATAATGTGAGGAGGTGGAGGGACAGCCCACCCCTGTGTCCACCGTGACCCCTGTTCCCATGCTGACCTGTGTTTCCTCCCCAGTCATCTTTCCTGTTCCAGAGAGGTAGGGTTGGATGTCTCCATCTCAGTCTCAACTTTATGTGCACTGAGCTGCAACCTCTTACTTCCCTACTGAAAATAAGAATCTGAATAGAAATTTGTTTTCTCAAATATCTGCTATGAGAGGTTGACAGATTAATTAAATAAGTCAAATTCGAGAACCTGAGAGAGCAAATAAAGACCTGAGAACCTTCCAGAATCTGCATGTTCCCTGTGCTGAGTCTGTTGCAGGTGGGGGTGGAGAAGGCAGTGAGGAGCCCAGTGTGGACTGGGCCTGTGTCTAGTTGCTGTTCAGTTCTTCGTGGGCTTTATGTGGTCAGTCCTCAGCTGGGTCACCTTCACTGCTCCGTCGTCCTTGTCCCTTCAGTGGGAACTTGTCCAGTGGGAGCTGTGACCACAGAGGCTCAGACATCACCCACGGCGGTCCCTGCACACGGGGGTCTCTGTGCATTCTGAGACAAATTTTCAGAGCCATTCACCTCCTGCCCTGCTTCTAGAGCTTCTCTTCTGCTCTGCTTTCCTGCCCTCTCTCCCTGCCCTGGTTCTAGTGATCTTGGTGCTGAATCCAACCCCAACTCATGAATCTATAAAGCAGAGTCTAATTTAGACTTACATTTGTCTCTGAAATTGGACCCATCATCAAGGACTGTTATTTCCTGAAGAGAGAACCTGGTTGTGAGTTGCAGTGTGCGGGGGTGGGGGGTGCGGGGGGCGTTGCTGTAGAAAGAGGGATGGGGGAGAGAGAACACACAAGCAGCACTGCTGAGAAAAACATAGGCGGCCTCTATCTCAGTGTGAGGGGACCTTGTGCTGTAGCTGCCACAAAATGGCATTTGGCCTGAGGCTATGTTAATAAAGATACTGCCTTTAGAATAGGGAGGTGCTCTACAGTGATCATTCATTCAACTGACCTTTGTCGTTGGCCAGACATAGGACAGAATTGTTCTGCATCTGGGGAATATCACTGAAGTAAAATCAGAAAAATCTCTGGCCTTTTGTAGGGTATGTTCCAGTGGGAAGAGGCAGATGATAGATACACTGTAACCAGAGTAAGGCAGGAAAGTTCTAGAAAGTGGTAAGTACTGTGAGGCAGGTGATTCAGGATGTGGGCAGTGGGGACAGGGAAGGTGGCTGTTGTGCTGGGTGGTCAGTGTGTGCCTTGTTGCAAAGGTGACCTTTGAGGAAGGATTTGAGGGACATGAGGATGTCTGGGGAAGTTCTTTCCAGACAGAGGAACCTCCAGTCCAAATGCACTATGGCAGGAAAGTGTCTGTGTTCCCACAAGAGCAAGGAGGCCAGGAGGGCTGGACAGAGAGAAACTGAGGTGAGATTAGAGGTGTGGCCAGAGCAGGTGGGCTTGAGGGGAATGGGGTTGGATCTGACCTTTGGTCTGAGTGGGATGAAGAGCCAGAGGACAGTTTTGAGCAGAAGAGGGCCATGATATAACTTCTCTTTTAAAAGGATCTCTGACTGCTGTGCTGAGAACAGAATTGAGAGCTGAGGGACGAGGGAGGCAGA